ATTTATATTCTTTTATTATAAAAAAAAATTTAATGTACAATAAATTGTTAAGTTGCGGGACAGTAGATGTTTTTAATCGTAATCGGATGGTGATTCATCATCGGATGGTGATTATGATATTGAGATGTTGAAGATCGGGACGTCCGTCGTGAATATGCAAATTGTAGACACTAGTGATGAGTGTAGTATATGAAGGCGCTGTCGTATCATCGTTGAGTCAATTTACGATTCTCCTCGCTCTATCACATTATGTGGGCGTTACGCTCGTCCACGTCACTTGTGTCAGTGGTCATGGTTCGAGAGGTCATACAGGATTATTGGTATAGGGTATGCCAACCCGAAACCTAGTGTTCATTAAACAAACAAATTTCTCCAACATATAATATGATTTAATTTGTTTTTTTTAATGGTTCATAAGTGTAACAAGTGCGAAATATATAATATAAATGGCAAAATTTCATTAACTATCTTATATTTGCCCTACATATTGCATTTTTTTTATTAAAAACTGTATTACTTCAATAAAGTTTAATGACTAATAACATTCTTGACTATATGTCTTATATAAAAAATAAATATTAACGTTAAATTAATTTGAATAAACCAATGGATAATGAACTTACTTAAAGCATCTAATCTCATTATGCAACAAATCGCATACAGCCGGTAATTTGACTCGATATGGCGTCCAAGTCCGATTTCTAATTCGATTGTGATTACGTGGGTATTATCGATTGTAATAATAGTGACCGGCGTCTAATCATGAATCGTTAATATTAGCAAACTCATGCATACATGTAAAAATAAATGACATATTTTGATACTTATATGCAATAACTAACGCGATGAAAGCACAAACACAAAAAAAGTAATGTAATATTATTAAGTAAGTATAAAAAAATATAATATTTTTTATACTGTAATAAAATACAATATATTTAAGAATAAATAATTAACAAACATTGTAATGAAAAAAAGATAGATATAAAAAGATCTCAAAAAGATAGACTGATCATTTAAAAAAATATATATATTACAAATTTTATACAAATGGTTACAATTTTCATTGATTTAGGAACGCGCATGTGCGCTTCTTTCTCACGGACGAATTTTGAGTTATGAAGAGGATTGAACTCTGAGGTAATCCCCCTATCATTACAATACGGGACTATTCAAAGACTAAAAAAGGTTACAGCATATCTCGTTAACTATTTAATTCTTTTAACAAATCTAAATAAAGAATGTAATCTCTCAATATATTTTTGTCGTTCAAATTATATAATGGTGTTATCTGGGTAGACATATGTATGTTGTTTTAAATGCGAAAATTTCAGTACCTGTATCGGTTCTTCATTTAGAAGTATGAAGTACTATCTCTTCTGACAATAAAAGTAATGAAAAAAATAAAACCCCGACAAAATTCGCAAGTATCTCAATAGATTTACGGTATACATTTGCATAGTTATCATTGAATCATTTATTAACCTGAGGTGAATAAAAGCATCCGAGTCACGATACAAGAAGTGATGAAACGCAATCAACGTCCGTTATTTATTTCGCAAATCAAAATGCAGAAATAATTCCATCATGCCACGTTTTCAATTACGGTTTCACTTTCTCCCAGGTTATGGGAAACTTTAAAGAAACCCAACAGTGAAAATCTATTAACTGCCACTCCTGATTGTATGTCATTCCAGAGCATCTAGTATAAACATAGTTTACCAGAGATTAAATAATAGTTCCATATAATCGGGATATGTAATAGCACAACTTCTACAGAACAGGTTATAAAAAGAAAAGGCTTTTATCAATCATATAAAACTTTACCCCAAAAATTAATATGCTTGGGAGTAAAATACGTGAGATTGTAAATATAAAATACTCTACCTATAATCTCTAATGCGGTGGTGGTAAGTTCCAGTCGACTGTTGCTTTTGTGGTGAAATTAACACTGTATGCCCACACTTCGCTTACTTGTCGCATATACATATAATCGGAACTCTTTACAAGAATAGTTCATTACTAAGATTAACGTCAAGATCACTGCAATAGTAGGAGAATTATGCATAATAGCATGACTAAATATTTACAGTGTTATTCATAAAACTTAAGAAGCCTTTATAAGCCCACTATAACAGTGCTATAAAGGCTTTATAAAAATCTCTATTTATAAACGCTCTATAAAGCTCTTATAACTGTTCATTAGCAATCAGTTCTATAAACCCTCTATAAACCTATGATAAACCTCTGATAGTGAAAAACGTTATTCATAAACGCTCTATAGCGGTCCGATAAAGTCAAAACGTCAAATAGCGAGCCTATAAAGTTAACAGAGCCGACTCCCTACTTTAGCGGCATTTTAACCTAAAAATTGTGAAATAATTATTCCGTTAATTAATAAAATGGAAGCAATTACGACCATTTCTACAATTAATTTAATTGATATGTCAAGAATACGTCAAAAAAAAACATTTAAAAAAAAAGTCAATCCATTTCTTTTACCAGATAAGTGCTTTAAATATAAATACCGATTCAATAAAAGTACTGCTCGATATATAATTTCCTTGGTATACGATCAACTAAAACAAGATCCCAGAGGTGGTGCCGTTTCTCCAGAGTTGCAAGTGTTAACTGCTTTGAGGTGTTGGGGACGAAGAGAGGTAAGTTTTTTTTACAATACATTCATCAATCATATATTTATATATATATAGGATAATGTAAGTTTTTATATGTAAGTTTTCATACAATTCAAACTCATAATTAATCTTGATATCTTTCATTTCATAGGTTCAGGATGATTGTGCTGATCTTCATGGACTCAGTCAACCCACAGTTAGTAGGATATGTAGTAGGGTGGCAAAGGCAATTGCTCAGCTTGCTTCCACTTTTATAAAAATGCCAGAAACTGTCACAGAGGAACGGTCTTGTATGACAAATTTTGAAAGTCTGGCTGGTTTTCCAGGGGTTACAGGGGCTATAGACTGTACCCATATTAAAATTAAAAAAACAGGTGGTGATGCAGCCCAATATTACATAAATAGGAAAGGATATTATTCTTTGAATGTGCAGGTGATAAAATTATGTATTATGTGTAAAACATATCTATATTGTTTGATTAACTAATTATCATTACATAGTATAAAACAAAGTCACATTAAAACTATACAATGCATGTTGAAGGGGGTTATAATAGATTCAAGAGGAAGGTTTATATATATATATATATATATATATGTACTAGTAATGTATAAAGTACTTAATTATTTTGATTTTAGGTTGTCTGTGATGCAAAACTTGTAATAAGAGATGTTGTAGCAAGATGGAGGGGCAGTACTCATGACAGTAGAATATTTACTGAGTCAATTATAAAAGAAAGGTTTAATAATGGTCACTTTAGAGGATGTTTACTCGGTGACTCAGGGTATCCACTTCTGCCCTACCTTTTTACACCAATTTTGCATCCTGTATGTAGAAAGGAAGAAAGGTATAACTCTGCCCATATCAAAACACGGAATAGTGTGGAAAGATGTTTTGGAGTGTGGAAACAGAGATTCCAATGTTTACTACATGGATTAAGTGTATCGCTGGAAAATGGAAAGGCAGTTATAGTGGCTTTAGCTGTGCTCCACAATATCGCTATGAGTAGGAATGACGATATATTAGGTAATTCTTTTAATGAAACACTACTTTATTTATTTCAATATTATTTAATAAACACAATTTTTACAAAAAATTTACAATACAAGTTTTTGTACAAACACTAATTTGTTTACTATATTTGATTATCAACTTCAGTGCATTCATAATTTGCACTGTTACACAATTATTACAACTAGCGGTTGCCTGTGACTTCATATGAAAATGTATTTTTGTAAAAATCTTCCAGAATTAATTATTTTTGAAGCCTCACAGGTCTGCTATGAATATGTAACTTTCAAACTATTTATCCAGATTATGTGTAAAGGACAAAGTTTTAATGTAGTTTATACATTGTTGTTATTTATATCTTCTGATATATGATGCAGTCACAGTCATCCATTGAATATAGTTATACAGACATGTTTCTAATCCTTGTTGTTTAAGCTGTATTTTGATAAGTATCAATACATTATATTTTTCAATAAATTATGGGCCTGTAAAGTAATAATATTATTAATTTCAGAATATGAGAATCTTGAAGAGGTTACCATTCAATCACAACATCAAATTGATGAAGGAATGGGCAATGGTGCTGTAAGAAGACACTCTCGATATATTTTGGATACATTTATACAAAATAATTTTTAATAAAATAAATTATGTTAATTTACTTTGTTTACTATATTTTATATTTAACTTGTTACAAGTTGTCTACATACTTGGATTGTTTTTCTTTCTAGAAAATATCAATTTTTGTTGGAGAATTTCATACTCCAAGTCTAAATTTCTTGCTTTCTTTCTTTCATTATCCATTTGTATATTATGTAATTCATTTTTGTTCTTGATCTCTGTATCAGCTATTTTTTGTATATAATTGTTTGTATTTGTGAGCTGTATAATAAAAAAAAAACAATTATTTAATTATAAAAAATATTTGTATTTTATGGTGTATAAATTTATTTGGGTACCTTTCTTTTTTTATTACATTTCTTTCCTTCATTTGAAATATATTCTTTTGTGCTGCCACTTTGAGACTACAAAAGAAATAACAAAATTTATGTATATTAAACACCATATTATACCAACCAATTTAATCAATCATATCAAACATCTCTTTATAATCTTTGGTCCCAGTCATTTAGCACACAAAAATATATTTAAAAGTTCTATATTACTTACATTTTCAATAATTTCATCAATCTCCAAAATAATTTCTGGCATCTCCGGTGCTTTTTCATTCAGTTTTGGTTCTCTAGGTTTGTCTGGAATCTTTTAATTACAACATGTACTTTTATAAAAATAATATATATATGTTATATAATATACATTATGCTGAGTTCATTTATGTCATGATATAATAGATACTACATATTATATATTACTTACAGCGCTAACAGGTACATCTATTTCATTTATCTGAAATATGAACACAATGATTAATGAACCTACACTTACTACCTTTACTTTTTATATTATATGCAATGAAAAAATAAAAAATAGGTTACATGATCATCTGGAATTCCTGTTTTAGCGTCAGAGTCATATAGATTGGTGTCCACGTAAAACTCCTGCGGTAACCATGCCAATATGTCTGTACTGTCCACTGGAACAGTCACAGTAGGTGGTCCTCCACCAGTTTTATTCAGAGATCGCCTCTGGTCTGCTAAATTTTTCTTTTTACTTACTTTGATGACTCCCCACTGAGTTTTTATTTGTTGCAATGTGCGTCTGCTACCTTTGCACATTGCATTAAAACTGAAAAATATATTGAAGTGTAAGTACATGAGCAATAACAATTCACATATAAAATTATACTAAGCATGCAAGTTACTCTAATCTACGGGCTAGCTTCTACAAATAATAAATAACCTATCCATAACTTCCAGCCATCCTTTCTTTTTACAGTTGTTGGTATTCGTATCCGTATTCTTATTCTCTAGTACGGCGACACGATCGCGGATCAATTCCAACAATAAATTCTATCAAAAATAAGGTATGCATTAAATGAATGTAATAAAAAGTTAAAACAAGTGAAATTCAAAGTCGTACATAAAAAATAATTTACTTGATCCAAAACTGGACAAAAATAACAAATATTGATAAGTAAACACAATCTTACCTTGTCGTCTTCCAACCAATTTTCGCTTCGTGCTCTCTTTTGTTTATCCATTTTAAAATTTACTAGATAATGAAAATCCGTAATATGTAATAAATCCGTTAATTCTAATTCTAACGAATTGTAACTATATTAAAACAATCGTAAATTATAACATGCAATTTTAAATAAAACAATCGTTTTGACAGAACCAGTGTTGCCAACGATGTTTTATTGAATCCACTATATAGCAAAGAAACCTCGATATATAATTTCCTTGGTATACGATCAACTAAAACAAGATCCCAGAGGTGGTGCCGTTTCTCCAGAGTTGCAAGTGTTAACTGCTTTGAGGTGTTGGGGACGAAGAGAGGTAAGTTTTTTTTACAATACATTCATCAATCATATATTTATATATATATAGGATAATGTAAGTTTTTATATGTAAGTTTTCATACAATTCAAACTCATAATTAATCTTGATATCTTTCATTTCATAGGTTCAGGATGATTGTGCTGATCTTCATGGACTCAGTCAACCCACAGTTAGTAGGATATGTAGTAGGGTGGCAAAGGCAATTGCTCAGCTTGCTTCCACTTTTATAAAAATGCCAGAAACTGTCACAGAGGAACGGTCTTGTATGACAAATTTTGAAAGTCTGGCTGGTTTTCCAGGGGTTACAGGGGCTATAGACTGTACCCATATTAAAATTAAAAAAACAGGTGGTGATGCAGCCCAATATTACATAAATAGGAAAGGATATTATTCTTTGAATGTGCAGGTGATAAAATTATGTATTATGTGTAAAACATATCTATATTGTTTGATTAACTAATTATCATTACATAGTATAAAACAAAGTCACATTAAAACTATACAATGCATGTTGAAGGGGGGTTATAATAGATTCAAGAGGAAGGTTTATATATATATATATATATATATATGTACTAGTAATGTATAAAGTACTTAATTATTTTGATTTTAGGTTGTCTGTGATGCAAAACTTGTAATAAGAGATGTTGTAGCAAGATGGAGGGGCAGTACTCATGACAGTAGAATATTTACTGAGTCAATTATAAAAGAAAGGTTTAATAATGGTCACTTTAGAGGATGTTTACTCGGTGACTCAGGGTATCCACTTCTGCCCTACCTTTTTACACCAATTTTGCATCCTGTATGTAGAAAGGAAGAAAGGTATAACTCTGCCCATATCAAAACACGGAATAGTGTGGAAAGATGTTTTGGAGTGTGGAAACAGAGATTCCAATGTTTACTACATGGATTAAGTGTATCGCTGGAAAATGGAAAGGCAGTTATAGTGGCTTTAGCTGTGCTCCACAATATCGCTATGAGTAGGAATGACGATATATTAGGTAATTCTTTTAATGAAACACTACTTTATTTATTTCAATATTATTTAATAAACACAATTTTTACAAAAAATTTACAATACAAGTTTTTGTACAAACACTAATTTGTTTACTATATTTGATTATCAACTTCAGTGCATTCATAATTTGCACTGTTACACAATTATTACAACTAGCGGTTGCCTGTGACTTCATATGAAAATGTATTTTTGTAAAAATCTTCCAGAATTAATTATTTTTGAAGCCTCACAGGTCTGCTATGAATATGTAACTTTCAAACTATTTATCCAGATTATGTGTAAAGGACAAAGTTTTAATGTAGTTTATACATTGTTGTTATTTATATCTTCTGATATATGATGCAGTCACAGTCATCCATTGAATATAGTTATACAGACATGTTTCTAATCCTTGTTGTTTAAGCTGTATTTTGATAAGTATCAATACATTATATTTTTCAATAAATTATGGGCCTGTAAAGTAATAATATTATTAATTTCAGAATATGAGAATCTTGAAGAGGTTACCATTCAATCACAACATCAAATTGATGAAGGAATGGGCAATGGTGCTGTAAGAAGACACTCTCGATATATTTTGGATACATTTATACAAAATAATTTTTAATAAAATAAATTATGTTAATTTACTTTGTTTACTATATTTTATATTTAACTTGTTACAAGTTGTCTACATACTTGGATTGTTTTTCTTTCTAGAAAATATCAATTTTTGTTGGAGAATTTCATACTCCAAGTCTAAATTTCTTGCTTTCTTTCTTTCATTATCCATTTGTATATTATGTAATTCATTTTTGTTCTTGATCTCTGTATCAGCTATTTTTTGTATATAATTGTTTGTATTTGTGAGCTGTATAATAAAAAAAAAACAATTATTTAATTATAAAAAATATTTGTATTTTATGGTGTATAAATTTATTTGGGTACCTTTCTTTTTTATTACATTTCTTTCCTTCATTTGAAATATATTCTTTTGTGCTGCCACTTTGAGACTACAAAAGAAATAACAAAATTTATGTATATTAAACACCATATTATACCAACCAATTTAATCAATCATATCAAACATCTCTTTATAATCTTTGGTCCCAGTCATTTAGCACACAAAAATATATTTAAAAGTTCTATATTACTTACATTTTCAATAATTTCATCAATCTCCAAAATAATTTCTGGCATCTCCGGTGCTTTTTCATTCAGTTTTGGTTCTCTAGGTTTGTCTGGAATCTTTTAATTACAACATGTACTTTTATAAAAATAATATATATATGTTATATAATATACATTATGCTGAGTTCATTTATGTCATGATATAATAGATACTACATATTATATATTACTTACAGCGCTAACAGGTACATCTATTTCATTTATCTGAAATATGAACACAATGATTAATGAACCTACACTTACTACCTTTACTTTTTATATTATATGCAATGAAAAAATAAAAAATAGGTTACATGATCATCTGGAATTCCTGTTTTAGCGTCAGAGTCATATAGATTGGTGTCCACGTAAAACTCCTGCGGTAACCATGCCAATATGTCTGTACTGTCCACTGGAACAGTCACAGTAGGTGGTCCTCCACCAGTTTTATTCAGAGATCGCCTCTGGTCTGCTAAATTTTTCTTTTTACTTACTTTGATGACTCCCCACTGAGTTTTTATTTGTTGCAATGTGCGTCTGCTACCTTTGCACATTGCATTAAAACTGAAAAATATATTGAAGTGTAAGTACATGAGCAATAACAATTCACATATAAAATTATACTAAGCATGCAAGTTACTCTAATCTACGGGCTAGCTTCTACAAATAATAAATAACCTATCCATAACTTCCAGCCATCCTTTCTTTTTACAGTTGTTGGTATTCGTATCCGTATTCTTATTCTCTAGTACGGCGACACGATCGCGGATCAATTCCAACAATAAATTCTATCAAAAATAAGGTATGCATTAAATGAATGTAATAAAAAGTTAAAACAAGTGAAATTCAAAGTCGTACATAAAAAATAATTTACTTGATCCAAAACTGGACAAAAATAACAAATATTGATAAGTAAACACAATCTTACCTTGTCGTCTTCCAACCAATTTTCGCTTCGTGCTCTCTTTTGTTTATCCATTTTAAAATTTACTAGATAATGAAAATCCGTAATATGTAATAAATCCGTTAATTCTAATTCTAACGAATTGTAACTATATTAAAACAATCGTAAATTATAACATGCAATTTTAAATAAAACAATCGTTTTGACAGAACCAGTGTTGCCAACGATGTTTTATTGAATCCACTATATAGCAAAGAAACCTCGAGTTTTACAAAATATTTAAATCAATATTAATGAATTAATAAAACTACTTGAAACCATTATATTAAAAATTTGCTTAAAAATACATGCATATTTAAACCAAAAATCATTGTAATATTTAAAAACTATGTAAAAATACTTCTATCTTCCCTTAACTTTATTAAATAGAAATACAATTACAATAATAAAATACAATTTTATATATATTCAATAGGAAAATGTATAAAAATGTATTAATTTACATAATTTGTTCAATACTGGAGGAGTTAATTCTGCTAGATTTAGTGGTGAAGCAACTAAAATAGCAACACTGATTACGTCACCTGCGTATATGGTAAAACAGTCCAACGTCAAGATTGCAACATAATGATAAAAACAGTCCTATAAACCTCTATTAGTTAGCGAGGCTTTATAATAGGTTTATGAATAACGCACTTCTATAAACCTTCAATAGCGCTAATGAATGTTTTAACTAATGAGCTTGTGACGGTTCGCCTAGTACTCATTTTAGTTTTAACGTCATATTTTGCATAAAATGGGCGATAAAAGGAAATAACAATAAAAATGTACATATTAAAAATATTCACTTCAAAAATTGTATTTGATAACTAAACATAGAATAAATTAGCATATATTCCGTTATTTAATTGACAAAATAATTGTAGTAGAAGCATCGTCTTATTTGATAAATAAAATACATAAAATAAGTTATATGTAAAATAGTACAAAATATTAAATAAAATCAATATTGTGTATTTAGCTTTCAACACCAGAAAAAGGATAGTTCGCTATAACTATCTATAGGTATAACATGTGTGTCAAAATAAAGCCATTAAAAATTGTTAAATGCATATATGTAAACATGGTTACTAGCAGAAAAGACAATAGGGCGGCATCCTTTTGTGTTCGTCAAAAAGAAGGCCGACAAACACACTATCTACAGATATTACACGTGTGTTAAAAACAAAACTATTAAGAACTGTTAAATATTTTTCTGTAAACATATTTACTAGCAAATAGGACAATAGAACGGCATCCTTTGTGTTTAACAAAAGAAAGCCGACATGCATGCATAGGATGTTCCAATTTACTACGTTGTAAGAGATCATGATTTAAATAGATAAATAGAAAACGACTTCTAAGGAATTAATTGTATTGAAACATTAGTTCAGGTTTTGATAATAGAAAGGAATTTATTAGAATTTCATAAAAACACAGTATGTAAAATAATAGTATCAACAGAATGAGCGGTTATATATGAATACTAACGTTTATCTAATTATAATGATTTATTAAGTAAATTATAAATTACATTTTTATTTTTATTACAGACTTTAATATTAATTACATATTATATATGTGTTTGCGATTTATTAT